TAATTGGCTTTGTATTAGCATATTCTGAAATTTTATTATTTGTTATATAGCTGTTGGCTACCCGAATTAAAATAAATAAATAAATTAAGTCTTATTTTTTTTTGTTTTTACTTTATACATCGAAAGCACTCCTTATGGCAAGGTTTTTTGCCGCGGGACGATAACTAAATGGATTTCACGGCGTATAAGAACGATGTCTACATCAAATCAATTAATTTTAATAAGCGCAAAATGGCGATTATAAAATAAAATAAATCAAATATCAAAAAGGTTAGTATACCTAGATTCGTTTTTAAATCAATTTATTTAGCTTGCCTCGTTTGTTTGTTTGAGTATTTAGTAATTGTAATGTCACCCCATTCCTGACGACAGATCGATCTGATATTTGGTACACACTCTTAATATTGATGACCATCCAATATTATCTAATTTCTTTCACAAATTCCTCCATTATGGGTATCTAACGAAAGGGCTTATTTATAGAATAGAGCTCTTTGAAACCGTTTAATATAAAAAATATTAATTTCTTTTATGCATTAGGTAATTGCTCATAGCTTTAATACACATATACCTACATTTTTTTTATTTATTTGCACACCAAACACACACAATACACAGGAGAATACGTACATTTTTATACACTTATTTAAATTTAAATTGTTCAATAATTATTATAAAAATGACGTAGGTAATAGGAAATTTAAAACTTTAAATAAAAATACAAAATTAATTCATCGTTTTTTTCCTAATATATGTTCATTTATGCTACGAAAAAAAACTTGTTCATATTTTGTGTAACAAGTCGTTTTGGTTTTTCTTAAATTAATATTATTCTATTATTGATATTAATAGAACAATAATAATAATAATAAGCCCGCAGGGCACCTTGAGGCGAGGTGACGGGCATTAGCGATCCCGCGGGCTACCATCATCCCGAGTGCTCCAGGGAGAAGGCACCGTTCCTTCTTCTCCGGCTTGCCTTAATTGGCTGGCTGGAGTGAAAGATGACAAGGAACAGGTCTCCCACCTCTGGCTTGCCTTCATTGGCCGTCCAGAGTGGAGTCGCGAGAGCAGTGAACCTGCTCGGAGGGTAAGAAACTATTCGTAAGTCGCGAGTGGGCCAGGGATGCAGGAGGCTTCGGCTGGAGCAGATGATCTGAGTAGAAAGCGGTGGTAGTTTCTTAACCCTTCAGCCACTCACATTCTCGTTGCCCCTCTGTTGCTATATCTAGCAACCATTCCCGGGGCCCGGTCAGTGAGTTGGCGAGTCTCCGCCTGCCATTTTTACGTGTAAAAATTACATTGTTTCGGCAGGTGTCATAGTCATCCATAGTTCCCAATTTACCAGTCCACAGCAACCCATCCATAGCCCTACCTTTTTTTTCCATTATTCACAATAGTCCTACACTAACCGGGTACTGTCCTTGGGTGCATTTCCATAGTGCATACAGGGATAGTCCCCGGTTTGTGTGTCCATTACATTTATATTATAGTTGTCTAAAGGGCCTCTGCGCAGTTGGCTTCGGCCCCTCGTACGCCTCCCAAATGACCGGGACCCTGTGGTCCCGTGAATGGTAAAGACATACATAATAATAATACGTCAAACCTAATGGGAAATACCTAATTATCTATAAGAAACCCGTTTCCCGTTGTCACGCAACCCGTAGATCCCCATGCGGTCACCGTTGACCGCTCTCCCCTAATATAACATTAGAAAGAAAGAAAGAAAAAGCATTTATTCAGCACCATAAATAAAATATAAAAAAGACAATAAAGGTGTGACAGTGGAAGTAATAAAAACATTGAGTTGAAAAATTAAAACAGAAGAATTAGAAGAGAGACGCTGAAAACATGCCTATGCTAAAAGGGTCACCCACTCAGTGTAAGCCAGGCATACATTACATTATAGACTTTATTTCCAATGTTTAGAGATTACTTTTGTATGACCAAATTTAGGGGACGGATTTCAACGGGCATAGGTAACTTGAGAATGGCTAGACCGATTTGGCTGATTTTTTTTAGTTGTGTTTGTTATTATCAGGAGACGGTTTTTATGATAGAAAAAAAATCTGAAAGTGCTACGGTAAAGGGAGAAAATGGGATTGCGCGTACAAAGTCGCGGGCAGAAGCTAGTATTTAAATAAATAATCACTGCTCACTGCTACCCAAAGGCCTCTTCTTACATGGAGAAGGATTGAGTATTACTCACCACGCTTGCTCAATGCGGTATAGCAATTCCAAACTTAACTTAATCAACAAATATAACAACCCACACGTGGCTTTTAAATGTAATTTAAAATTGGGTAGCATTTCATTATTTGAGCGTTAGTCTTTTCCTCCTTGAATTTGAAACGAAGTCAGATGGTCAATGAAAATGTAGAGGTATAATTAGAAATTATAAGCCCAGGTTTCCTCACGATGTTTTCCTTCACCGTTTGTCAGTGGTGTCTAGATAATCTTAGAAAGTACATATAACTCGGAAAAAGTCACATTGGTGCTTGCCGTTGGTAGGTTCCGAACTGGCACCAGGCCACCAGGACAATCAAGTGGGGCTGATATGATGATAACGAGCTCTGCCTATCTCTTTTTTAAATAAAGGCTTTATCTCTCAAAACGTGATATAATGCTATCTTTTTTTTATTATCCATTAGACTAATTGATTCATTGACTAATTGTTTGATAAAACACATACTAGTATATTATATAAAACGCAAATAAATAGCCGTATTGTAACGCCGGGGTAGAAACCCAAATGGGCCTATAGTTGGAACATATTTTGTAAAAAATTGCAAACAACCCTGTACACACTATAGATGCATTAAAGTGATTTGAATTTGAATTTGAATTTGAACCATTACACCGGTTTTGTGGGGCTTAGATTATAAAATACTTACCTTTGTGATGTAAAGATAAATAAATAAAAAAAAATGCCACCACCTCTACTCTTCCCGCAGGTGTAATATTATACCCGAAAACTGGACTATATTACATAACATAAAATCACTTCTTTTTATCCCCGAAGAGGTAAACAGTCCGGTCAACACAGACAACCTACTTTTCACTATTCATATTATGAGTCCCATGTAATAGGGGGTGAGCCTATTGCCATATACCGAGCACTATTCCAGACTACGCGTTACTACTGAGAAGTTTTTTTTTTAAATCCTTGTTATACTTTTCTCGACCCGGCAACCCGAGTGCCCTAGACCCCTTGCCCGGCAGTAGCACTTGCGACCACTCAGCCAACGAGGCAGTCAGTTATTATAAACTACTTTTAAGAAAACCATCTTCAATCCCCTCTTTTCTTGAAGTTAAAATTGTCTCCTAAGTGTAACAAACACTTTTCTGAAAACCACATCAAAATTAGTTCAGCCAATCGCGAGATACGCACACACGTACATACATAATAGACATCAAACAGAGAACGTCCTTTTTTCTCTTAGAACACTTAATTTATTAATCAATAATTCTATTCGACACAGGAGCCAAATCTATAGCCTCAAGACATCACAGACTTGAATTTCAAATCACTCGATCAATCAACTTAGCATACTTATGCCATCTTTTATGAGACAGGTTATTTAAATAAACTTAGGTATCATATTTTCAAAATCTAGGCTTCAAAGAAAGTCTACAAGCTTTGTTAAGTAGCCAGGTAAATAACAATATAGCCTTTGGCAAATTTTCTAAAAATAAGCTGTTTTTACAAGCACTTTCGCTATTAAAATATGAATAAAAATAATTTTATCCTTTGATACATAGCATTATACATACTTCTTTAGCTTCCATCACATTCATACATCTGATGGTGTACAGAAACTACAGAGCGCCGCCTACTACGCTCCTTACATACTTCTTTAGCTTCCATCACATTCATACATCTGATGGTATACAGAAACTACAGAGCGCCGCCTACTACGCTCCTTACATACTTCTTTAGCTTCCATCACATTCATACATCTGATGGTATACAGAAACTACAGAGCGCCACCTACTACGCTCCTTACATACTTATTTAGCTTCCATCACATTCATACATCTGATGGTATACAGAAACTACAGAGCGCCGCCTACTACGCTCCTTACATACTTCTTTAGCTTCCATCACATTCATACATCTGATGGTATACAGAAACTACAGAGCGCCACCTACTACGCTCCTTACATACTTCTTTAGCTTCCATCACATTCATACATCTGATGGTATACAGAAACTACAGAGCGCCACCTACTACGCTCCTTACATACTTCTTTAGCTTCCATCACATCTGTATTATTTGGAAAGAGCACCGAGTTTCTCTGAAGGACGAATGACTTTAAAATATTTTTATTACATTCTTGACTTTTAAGCGTGCCTTTTTTGACCTTACACTTACTGAATGATATTTATCTTTGACTTACTTAGCTTAAATATAAACATGGTCTTTATAATTATAACTAGCTTTTACCCGCGGCTTCGTTCGCGTCACAAAAGGATAAAAAGTAGCCTATGTGACATATACCATTACACACAGCGCCATCTATACCAATAATTTCGTTTTCCCTCGAGAAGATCAAATTTTTTCCGGGATAAAAAGTACCCTATTATGTAATCCAGACTTCTAACTTCACGCCTGCAAAAATTCAAAGCGTTCGGTTTAGTAGTTACGCCGTGAAAGTGGAACAAACAAACAAACAAACTCACTTACCGATTTATAATATTAGTAAGGATGGCAGTTGATTTAAAACTATAAAATTAAGTAAAAACGCGGGTTACTCACGTGAATATACTGAGAAAAGCTCTACTAGTTTCGAACCACAGAGGGGTTCTTCCTCATGAGCAGCGTGCGCGGTCGCGGCGACCGCGACGTCGCGCGGCTCACTCTTTTTATGGCATAAGCCGGTAAACGAGCAGACGGATCACCTGATGAAAAGCAATCGGCGTCGCCCATGGACACCTGGAACACCAGAGGCGTTACAAGTGCGTTACCGGCTATTTGGGGATTAGGAGTTTGAGGATCGTTGGGGATTCAGGGATTGGTGAGATTGGGGAAGGGGAGGGTAATTGGGCCTCCGGTAACCTCACTCACACGACGAAACACAACGCAAGCGTTGCTTCACGTCGGTTTTCTGTGAGGCCGTGGTATCACTCCGGTCGAGTCAGCTACTTACTAAAATAACTTTTTAAAATTTTTATTTGTTGTCTGTTTGTTTTTACTGGCTAATCTTTGGAATGGCTGGACCGATTTTGCAAGACTTTTATTAGCAGGTAACTGATGAACTAAGGAGTAAATTCAAATTCAAATTATTTTATTTGTAACATAGGCTACTATTATTTGGAAAACCGAAACAAAAAGAAAGGTTATATTTTAATTCATATTCTAAGCGGACGTAGTCGCGGGCAACAACTAATAGCCTATAATAACACACGTATTTTTGATGGCGACTGTACACGTACACAAAATAACAATCTAGAGTTATTATATACCGTTGCAACGGTAATGCAGACGTCAATCTTTTGGGTGGTATTTTTGTACAAGACCGACAAAGCAAAGGTACTGTTCATTCATCATTCATCAACAGCCTATAAATGCCCACTGCTGAGCAAAGCCTCGTCACACACTGAGAAGGTTAGAGCATTAATCACCACGCTTGCTCAATGCGGGTTGGCGATTTCAAACTAATAATTAGAAATTATAAGCCCAGGTTTCCTCACGATGTTTTTCCTTCACCGTTTGTCAGTGGTGTCTAAATAATCTTAGAAAGTACATATAACTCTGAAAAAGTCACATTGGTACTTGCCGTTGGTAGGTTTCGAACCCGCATACTCATGCATGAGAAGCAGGCGTCTTAAACCTCCGAGCCACCAGTGCAAGCAAGAAACTCAATTGAAATCAACTCCGAGCAAGAAACTCAATCGTTACTTACTTGGAAGGTTGATCTAAAACAATTATTATGAAAGGAAAATGACTAATAATTATCTATGTCTTAGCTCATTAATAGACAAGTTAAATGATTGAAATAATAGCTAGAATAGGCTGCTTACATAAGTGATAATTAAACGTAATTATGTTTAATAAGTAGTGTAGAAATCTATGTACTACATATTTAATACCTAGATATCGTAGATAGTGGATTACCTAGCCGGTTTACGGAGCTCCGGTCCTATGCAGGATGAATAGAGATTGCAAACCCTTTTTGGCACCCACCGGGCCCGGCCTACTGAGCCCCGTCACCGGACACGGTAAATAAATCAAGGCGCCCGACACGGGAACGTCACTTCGTTGAAAGTGTGTTGTCATGGCAACCGCTGCGAGAAAAGACTTTAAAATCAGAGACGAGTCAGTATGAGAGCAGAAAGCAAGGAAGGTCACTAGTTGACTCGTCTTAAAGACTATATGATGTTCAGGAAATCAACCAACTGTTGAAGCTGACAGGGATTTTTCGGCAGCAAGGTATATCTGCCTTGAGCGTATGGACCGTCGCGCCGCGCGCGCCTCAAAGAGCCATCAGGTTCACCACAGACGGGGCCCAGCAGGGCTGATGCACCATCCAGAACTGCAGACAACTGACAGGATACCGGGGCTGCGGAACCTGCGGTAACCTCACTTATATGACGCAACACAACTACTATTACACACTTACTATTGTGTATTTTGAATGTTATATGTTTGTGATGTGGCCGTACTCCTTCGAATAAATAAATAAACACAACGCAAAAGTTGTTTCACTATGGTCGTCTGCTCGGCCGTGGTATCACTCCGGTCGAGTCGGCCCAGTCGTGCTGAAGCACACTTAAGGCTCCCTTTTGCTTTTGCCTTGCCTTTTGCTAACTACTTATCATCAATGTAGGGTCATTACTGGACTATGAGCCTCTTGTACATACATAGGAGGGTTTGCCATAATTGCAACGCTTGACAGGTGTGTTGGAGAGCGCCACACTAGAGATATAATTTTAACAAGAATCCAGGTTATTTATGCGTACAAAATAACAGGCAAAAACTAGTAAGTTAACAATTTTATAACACTCATATGATAGTTAACCTTATCAAGATGTTTGATTGATATTCCCTTATCTAGTGCTCATATCTTATCAATTAGTACCTAAAATCTAGCTTATCAGTACCCCTGGCCTAGATTCAAGATTGCCAATCTCAAGGGCACTAGACTAGTTTGTAGATACCGTTCTATTATCAATGCGGCTGTTATTCTTTGAGGAGTTAGGCAGAAGTATTGATAGCATGATACATTTACATCCTTATTCTTCCCGCGAGTGTCGTAAAAGGGACTACACTTTAGACAGAGACCGGGCAGCAGTGCTCCCTGATAAACCTAAACCTTTTATACTGCGATGACAGTTTAAAAGGTTTAGTTTAGTTAGGTCAGGTTATCTTCAATGGAGATCGCTGTATAAAAGGTTCAAGTTAAGATATTTTTGTGTGTCAAGCGTGAAAATTATGCCAAATCCTTTTATAGGAGTCTTGTAATGGACCGCCACGGACTTGTAATAATGTCTAAAAGTGGAGGTCAGCAATGGAATGAAATAAGTGGAGACATCTAGTAAACCAAATCAGAAGGAGTCACATTCCTCATTGAGGGAAACGACTAAGGGCTGATTTTTCCAATACCAGATAAATTTTAACTGATGTATAACTTGGAACATTTGACAATTCTTCCATACTAAAAACTGTCAACTGTCAATTTTATTCTACAGTTAAAAAAGAACTGATGTTTGAAAAATCAGCCCTAAGAAGAGAGAGTATGAAAATGATGATGATTCGACTCTACTCGAAACTCAGTCACACAGCCACTGCACCTTTACCGACTCCGACCTTGTCATAATATTACAGTCGTAAACCTACATTTTAAGATTTTTTTTCAAGTTCAAAGTTTACTAAATATTTAAATAACATCTTCCGGTTAAGTGACACGGTTTGTATATATTTAGTTTAAAACTAAATATAGGTTAAAGTGACGGTATAGTTAAATCTGTGTCAAGGTTTCTTTGACTTAATTTCCGGTATTTTTTAAACTTTGACCTCGGTTACGAACGTGGGTTTGAAGTTGAGGTCCTAAGTTTGATTTCTAGTTTTGGTATCCTTACTAATATTATAAATCTGAAAGTGAGTTTGTTTGTTTGTTTGTTTGTTCCACCTTCACGCCATAACTACTACACCGATTGCTTTGAAATTTTGCAGACGTAAAGTTAGAAGTCCAGATTAAATAATAGGGCACTTTTTATTCCGGAAAAATGTGATATTCCCGAGGGAAAACAAAAATATTAGTATAGATGGCGCTGTGTGTATTCCTGTAGATGGCGCTTTGTGCCATCTAAAACAATTCAACGAATTACCTACTAATTGGAAATTTCACGCTTTAATCTATAGCGCTTATTTGGTGTTAATCTACACTTATTCAGTGCGCTTTTCGACTCATTTATTTGCTATTTTATATGTAAAAATACTTAAAAAACACGTGGTAACGTTGTGTAGTAGTTACGCTACTTGGCGATAGATGGCGCTGAGTGTTTATAAAATGGGGTATCGTTGTGCTTTTAAAGTACTTTTATCGCTTTTAAATTTTGGTTCCTACCATTTTACATTGAATTGTGTATTTTATAACTTTTAGGTTGTTAAAGGTACATGAAATTGGTGTCTATGTAGTAGTTACGCTATTTTTTAAGTACTTTTCGCTTTTAAATTTTGGTTTAACCATTTTACATTAAATTGCGTATTTTATAGATTTTAGGTTGTTAAAGGTACACAAAATTAGTGACGCTACTAATGTAGTAGTTACGCTACTTGGCGATAGAGTGCGCTGAGTGTTTGTAAAACGGGGTAACGTGTTTTTTAAGTATTCTTCGCTTTTAAATTTTGGTTCCAACCATTTTACATTAAGTTGCGTATTTTATAGATTTATAGGTTGTTAAAGGTACACGAAACCATAGTGGCAACAATACTCAACAATTGAAATATATTGTACGCTGTTGTTTCAACGCTCGATAGATGGCGTTAGGATCGAGTTAGATGGCGCTATGGTTTCGTTACCGGTGAAAGTATAGGTTCCGAGCTTCCGTATCAGCTATATTAGTGTACGCATCTAGCGCTTATTTGATTAGTCTTATTATTTGTTCGCTATGTAGGTTTGATTAGTCAAGTGTTATTTTTTCTAGTAGATAATAGTATTTAAAGTACTATAGTAATTTTTTTTCGTCGTTCTAAGACGCTTTGTTCATTGTTTACGTTGATTGATACAGTAGCTATATTAGTTAGGTTAGATTAGTGAAGTGGTTTATTTCTAAGTAGATGTCTAAAGTAGTTAGGTTTTCGATAATAAAACGTACCTATAATATAGTTTACCACTCAGTTTTGGTTTAGCATTGCAAATATAACCCTTATAGGAAATAGAAGTCTTTTAAATTAAAATGGGAGGAGGTATTTGTGGTAATGCGAAAATAACTTCTTCTGTTCTTTCACGCGGCTGAATCGATTTTGAAGAAATTTGGTATAAAGGTAGTTTGAGTCCTGGAAAAGCAAGGCTTTACCGCGGCAAAATTTCTCATTCCCACGGAAAAATCTAAAACGCGCGTTATAACCGAATTCCACGCAAGCGAACAGCTGTTTGTTTTTTTGCCTGTCTTAAATGGCAAAACGAAGGTACTTAACGTGATTTTTCAACTGAAGGTAGGTGAAGGGATGGGTAGTCACATAGGCTACGTTTTATCTTTTTGTGACGCGAGCGAAGCCGCGGGTAAAAGCTAGTAGATTTATAAGAGGTCACATGTGCAAGTATAGTGCAACTGCTAAGAACGAGGTCTTGAGTTTATTTGATTTCTGAATCAAAGTTATTCATGGTTTTCGTAAATATGGCTCTAAAAATATGTCATCTTATATCTTATCTTATATAATTACATAATCTTATGTACTATCCTTACTAATATTATAAATCGGAAAGTGAAACCGATTGCATTGAATTTTTGCAGACGTAAAGTTAGTAGCCTGGGTTTAATAATAGGGTACTTTTTATCCCGAAAAAATTTGATATTCCCGAGGGAAAACAAAAGTATTGGTATAGATGGCGCTGTATGTATTGGTATATGTCACATAGGCTACTTTTTATCCTTTTGTGACGCGAGCGAAGCCGCGCATAAAAGCTAGTTAATAT